AAAAAAAAAAAAAAAGAAGAAGAAGAAGAAAGGGAACAGTGTATCCTCTTCTGGTGGATTTAGTACATTCCTGGGCATTCTGATCCGTAGACCCTGGTGAGTGAGGAAGGACATGAAAAGACCCACAGTGGGTGCTCTAGAGCACCGGCATTGAATCGGCCACTTACATTTGAACCTGGGTTGTGACCTACCTCTCTGTGCCTCACTTTCCTCACCTATAAAAAAAATAAGTAAAAATAGTTCCTGCCTGATACTGCAGGGGGACACTTCTCCCTGCTGACCAGGGCAGCTCTATTAGCATACCACCCCGATGCTCTCTATTACTCTATTCCTCAGACATATACCAATTGGTGAATTTGGAAGATGACACTGGGCATGTGTGGTTGCTCCTCCCTCCCTCAAGTGATATTTGCTACTCTGTCCACCTTACTCTTCTATTTCTCAATTGGTCTGGATCAGGCAAATGATGGCCTGATGGCCAAAGGTGGCCTGCCACCTGTTTCTTTCTGCTTGAGTGGTAAGAATGGATTTTACATTTTAAAATAGCTGAAATAAATCATAAGAAGGATAACGTTTTATAACACCCGGAAATGACATGAACTTCACATTTCATTGTGCTGAAATAAAGTTTTCTCGGCAGCCACATTCATACTGTCAATCAATGGCTGCTTTGGTGCTGCCACAGCAGAGCTGAATTGTGATGGAGACTATACGGTCTATAATACCTAAAAATGTAGCACGTGACCTTTATAGAAAAAAATACTGTCAGATTTTTGTTTAGACCACTGGTGTCCAGCCATTTGGCTTCTTTGGGCCACATTGGAAGAAGAAGAAGAGGCGTCTCGGGCCACTCATTAATAAGCAAACACTAATGAAAGCTGCTGAGCAAATCAAAAAGGTTCATGCATAATTTTTGTGAACTCCGCCACCATCAAGAGGCAAAAAAGTCCTCACATCACAATGCAGTGGCCTGTTGACAGAATCTTTTAAAATCATTGAGCAGTTCCCAAGTTTGCAGTCACTAATATAGAAAATGTACATGTCTAAATCCTAAAATGCCTTTGGGCTTTGGGGGACATTTTTAATTATAAAAGTAATCATAAAACTAGTGTGATATTTGACCTTGTCTTTGAGAAACTCAGGCGTCAATATCTAGTTTGATGGAAGTGGGTGCAGTTCTTAGTTCTCAAGATGCGCATCAGATATTTCAGTTCTAGTTTTACTCTTAATGTTTTTTATTCTTGAAAATAGTTGCTTGCGAATGTAGGTGCTGCCAAAAAGTGACCATATGAATAAGACATGACTGTGAAGCAAGAGATGTTTGTCTCTGGAAAGGTAGGACCTATAAAAGTCTACTAAAGAGACATGGTCAAATTTTTCTTTAAGTTGCATTTCAGATTGCAGCTCTGTGCATCCCATTTGAAAATTGGCAGGTGACATACTTATGTCGACTGATAATAGAGTTACAAATGCACCAAAAAAAAAAAAAAAAAAGTTATTTTCCTGGAAATCCTGACATTGGTTTTCAAATTCTTATATCAAACCAAAAAGCAAGGCTGCATGATTTTCGCTGTTCACAGAAGGTGAAATTCTGGCACAAATTTGGTTGTTGATACCATAAATGACTTGATAACATGTCACAAATCATAAAATTTTTTAACGGTTGGCCTTGACTTAGCCATCTTACTTCCAAGAAGTCAATGATGTTGTCACAGTTAGTCAGCATCAATGCTTTTAAGGAATTCCTGGAATTAGCGATGATTCAATCCCTTGACCCTTATGAAATTCACAGTCTTGCTGATGGTTTGCATGACGTTATCCTTTGTTAAAGCTTTTGAACACGAATTTTCTTGACATACTATGCAATGACACTTCATCAAACGTGAGTTTTTCGGAAGCAATTGCATTGTCTGCTATTATTTTCACAAGTCCCTGTCTTTTACCAACCATCCCTGGGGCACCATCAGAAACTATACCAGATGTGTTGACAACGGACAAACAAAAACGCTTTAGAATATTTTCATTGCTTCCTATAAATCTCTTGATTTAGTTGTATCTTTTAGTGGCACTAAAGAAGCCATTTCTTCAGTGACATTATATTTGTCACCAATATCTCTAATAAAAATGGCAAGTTGAGCTGTATTTGTAGCATCAGTGCTGCCATCATTGCCAAAGCATAAGAATGTAAAATTAGGAACTTTACTTTCCGAGCTTCTTTTGATGGCTTTTCCAGTTTCTTCAATTCACCTGGCTATAGTCTGGTGAGACAAGGGACTTTAGAAATATCCCCCTTTGATTGCTGTGCTCCCACCTAAGGGGCACAACGTAAGGGTCTACGGCACACCTCCTGGGTGAGGGGCACAACTACAACAGGGACCTTCCCTAACGAATGCAAACAATGTAACCTAATTGTTTGTACCGACGAATTAATCTGAAATTAAAAAAAAGAATAGATGTAATAGCTAGGTAATATTGTAAGAGAGAAGAAATTTTTCTAAGTTCCTTTGTCTCATAAATATATCTGAAGAACATTTTGGTGGATAAGATCACAGAGAATTTTACTCAATGCCTGGGGTGGGGAGAAAGAGTATATTTTGGAGAAGTGGAAAGCCCACACCTGTCCTTCCTAGCTTGCAGAATTATCGGAACATGGAGGCAGGGAATGAATCATAGACCTAGAGGCTTCACGAGCAACCGGAACTCCTGGCACCTGGGTCTTTGACTTCTGGCCTCCAGAAGTGTGAAAAAATAAATTTCTGTTGTTTAAGCTCCTCCGGTTGTGGTATTTTGTTATGGCAGCTGGAGCAAACTAATACACAGATGGCAAGAACGGGACCATGTCCCTGACATGATCAGCATCAGAAGCCTCCCAGCTGCCTCTCTTGCTAAGCTTTTTGCAGATGTAGGTTGCTACAGTGGTGGAGATTCAATTAGCAGAATAGCAAATTATATACCATGTGAGCATGTGTTAATCTGTACAATTTGGAAAGTATGTTTTTTAGGCTTAAAATGTTTGTGGCAGTTCATCTTTCTAGGAGGTCAGGGACATTCAGGAAAGCTGTATTTTACATGGCTCTTAAATATATTGTATATTTTTGCCATCCGAATGACATGATGCTCACCAGCATCATGGAAAAAGCTGGAGCCCATGTAAAGCGGACCCTGACGGGCTTGGGGTGGGCCGTGTAGGTCAGTTGAAATCTGCCTTCCTAGAGGTCTATTCATTTGTTTAGTTTTGTAATTTGATAATTGCTTGAGAGAATGACATAATTTCTAAATTTTTTCCATTTTGAAATCAGGTATGATTATTTAGCATGTACATATCTTCTCGTATTTTAAAGCACCCGACTTGTTTAATTTTCACAATATCCACTGCTGACCCTCACATCACATACCATCATCTCCTGGTGTGCAGTAAAGGTTTAATACAGTCTGGGTTGCTGAAACCCTCCACATTCCAAAGAAAGGCCAGTCTTTAGGAGACCTGGCTCTTCACCAGCTCCTGGAAGACAACTTCTCAGCCCTTGTTATATGTACGTACAAGCATACCTAGGAGATATTTCAGATTTAGTTCCAGAATACTGCAGTAAAACAAACACTGCGATAAAGCAAGTCATGATAATATCTTTTGTTTCTCAGTGCATATAGAAGTTACGTTTACCCTACACTGTAGTCTTTTAAGTGTGCAATAGCATTATGCCAAAAAAAAAAAATGCACATACCCTAACTAAAAAATACCTTATTGCTAAAAAATGCTAATGATCATCTGAACCGTCAGCAAGTTGTAATCTTTTTGCTGGTGGAGGGTCTTTGCTTTGATCTTGATGGCTGCGGATTGATCAGGGTGGTGGTTGCTGAAGGTTGGGTGAGGTATGAATGAATCTTCCTTTCACAAAAGAGTTCTCTGTAGCATGCAATGCTGTTTGATAGCATTTACCCACAGCAGAATATTTTCTGGTATATGAGGCCAGCGCCCTACTCCTTTGAGCCACAGGCGTCGTCCCCCCACCCCTTTTTTTAAAGAGACAGAGTCTCATGGTTTTGCCCTTGGTAGAGTGCTGTAGCATCACAGCTCACAGCAACCTCCAACTCCCTGGGCTTAGGCGATTCTCTTGCTGCAGCCTCCTGAGTAGCTGGGACTACAGGCGCCTGCCACAACACTATTTTTTGTTGCAGTATTGGCCGGCCAGGTTTGAACCCATCACCTTCGGTATATGGGGCCAGTGCCCTACCCACTGAGCCACAGGCACCACCCAGCAGAATGTCTTTTAAAATCAAGAGTCAGTCCTCTTAAACCTGTCCTCTGCTTTAACGACCAAATTTACGTACCTTTGCCAGCACTTCAAAGATGCTCTCAGCATCTTCACCTGGAGTAAATTTCCATCTCAAGAAACCACTTTCTTTGCTCATTTGTAAGAAGCGACCTCTTATCCATTCAAATATTATCAAGGGATTGATAGTAATTGGGACACATTTTCAGGCTCCATTTGTTTTAAAATCTTTTTTAGTTTGCATACATGTATATTCGAAGTGCTATTTTGCTACATCGATGTATTGCGTGTGATGAAGTCAGGGCCTTCAGTCCAGCCACCACTGCAGCAACATACATTGTACCCACCAAGCAACCTCTCACCTCCTCCTTGACCCCCCCATCCCTCCAAGTCTCTACTGTCCCTCGTTCTCTGTGTGTGCACATGATCTAGTTCCTACTGATAAGTGAGAACATGCAACGTTAGTCTTTCTGAGTTGTTTCACTTCAGATGATGGCCTTCAGTTCCATGTTGCTGCAAAAGAGACGATTTCATTCTTTTTTATGTATTCCTCTGAATAGTATTCTGTTGTTTATATGTGTACCATATTTTCCTTATGTAGTCCTTCAGTGTGGACACTTAGTTTGAGTCCATATCTTTGCTATTGTGAATAATGCTGTGAGTGCAGGTATCTTTTTGATATCATTATTTCTTTTTCTTTGGGTGGATACACAGTAGTGGGATTGCTGGATCATATGGCATTTCTGTTTTTAGTTCTTTGGGAACTCTCCATACTGTTTTCCATAGAGGTTGCCCTGATTTATATTCCTGCCCATAGTACATGAGAGTTCCTTTTCTTCCACCATCTGTTAATTTTTGTCTTTCTCTCTCTTTTTTTTTTTTTGCCACTTTTGACCTGGGCTAGGTTTGAACGCGCCACCTCCAGTATATGGGGCTGGCACCCTACTCCTTGAGCCACTGGTGCTGCCCAATTTTTGTCTTTTTAAAAAGTTATAGCCATTCTGATTAGTATAAAATGATACGTCGTTGCGGTTTTAATTCTCTGATGCTTAGTGATGTTGAACAAAAATGTTCATCTACATGTTGGCTACTTGTCTTCTTTTGAAAAACATCTATTCATTAAAAAGTGGGCTAAGGAGCTTACTTTCTAATTAGGTTATTTTTTTTCTTTTGTTGTTGTTTGAGTTCCTTGTACATTCTGAATATTAGTCCCCTTTCAGATATATAGTATGCAAATATTTTCTCCCATTCCTCTGATCATTTGTTCAATTTGTTGATTATTTATTTCCTGTACAGAAGCTTTGTAGTTCAATTATGTCCCATTTGTCTATTTTCATTTTTGCCAAATGTGCTTTTTGAGTTTTATATTTTCATGTGTTTTCATGATGGTGAACATTGACCTTTCATTTCCATGTTTAAAACCCTGGGCATTTCCTGTAGGACTGCTCTATAGTGATGAATTCCTTCAGGGTTTGTTTGTCTGGGAAAGACCTCCCCAAGTTTACAAGAGAGTTAGACATCCAATACATTGGAAAAACTCCCTTCACCATTACATATTGTAATCAGAATGTCTGAAGTAAAAGTGAAAGAAAGAAATTTTAAAATTAGCAAGAGAAAAGCAGTTAGTAACCAATAAGGAAACTCTATCAGATTAACAGTAGACTTTTTAGCATAAAACTTAAAGGCCAGAAGAGAATGGGATGGTATTTTAAAGTGCTAAAAGAAAAAAAAAAACTGTCAGCCAAGAATTTTATATATTACCAGAATAAGTTTCATAAACGAAAGAGAAATAAAGGCACTGACTTTGGATTTCTAGCCATGAAAATCCTGCAGGCAGCCTTCTCGCAATAGAAGGCTATTTCATCTGCCTTGAAAATCTGTTGTTTAGCATAGCCTTTCTTAATAATCTTTCTTCTTAACCTTTCTTTAATAATCTTTGCTATATTTTCTGGATAACTTTCTGCAGCTTCTACATCAGCACTTGCTGCTTCAGCTTGCACTTTTATGTTATCAAGACAGCTTCTTTCCTTAGACCTCAAGAACCAACCTCAGCTACCTTTCAACTTTTCTTCTGTAGCTTCCTTACCTATCTCAGCCATCATAGAATTGAAGAGTTAGGACCTTGATCTGTATTAGAATTGGCTTAAGCAAGTGTTATTGCTGGCTTAGTCTGCTTTCCAGACCATTAAAACTTTCTGCATATTGGCAATATGGCTGTTTTTCTTTCTTTTTAAATTTGTGTTCAAGACAAGGTCTCTCAGGGCCGGGTGTAGTGGCTCATGTTTGTAATCCTAGCACTATGGGAGGCCGAGGCTGGTGGATTGCCTGAGCTCACAGGTTAGAGACTAGCCTGAGCAAAAGCAAAATCCTGCTTCTAAAAATAGCCAGGCACTGTGGCAGGTGCCTATAGTCCCAGCTACTTGGGAGGCTAAGGCAAGAGAATTGCTTGAGCCCAA